AAGATACGGGATAGTTCTAGAAACAAGAAGGCGTGAGAATTGTCACGTGATCTCGATGACGCAACAATATTATAAATGTTTCCCAACTATTGTAATGAGAAATGATATTTTTGCAAATTCTAATAAGCATTCTGAACAGCATTTTTACAAAGTTATTTTTTCATTAAGTAATAGTTACCCTGAAGATAGCTCAAAGAATGAAACTGAAAGTTTCCTCAACAACTACTGAACATGGAGCTAACTCAATGGAATTAACTCTTTACTACTGCCATATTTTATCTTGCCATTTCCTTTATTATTCATCTCCTCTTTATATAAAACTTTCATAATATTTTATGGGCCTTGGAGAATTTACCTCACTGATTATCTCACATATATTTATGCCTACTGTGGTTTGTTACCCAATTCAAAAATATCATAAGAACATTAGCAGCCACTAGTGAGCAAAAATTCTTATAAGACCTGCTTGTAACTGACAATTTAACAATATATATTAAACGTAGGTTCTGAGAATACTTGTATATTTTTATATGACAGAAAACCTGATATCGAAATGCATGTACAAACACTAAAGTTTATAACTGGTTAATACAAACAAACTGAATACCATTAAAACTTACAAACATGAGGCAAGTACAAAGTTTAATAAGCAAACACATTTAAGATTTCAGATATGGAGATATTTATGTCACATTATACTAATCACAAAGGACAGAGTAAGAGATATAGAAAAAGACATAAAAAATACCACAAAATATCGAAATATGATAGCATAAAGGAGTTACAGTTTCTTCTAAGTTTAAATATATTAGTAACCTATGTTACTGACCTTAATTACAGACTGATTAAAATAACATAGTTTGTTGTAAGTTGACTGGTCAAATTACAATTTTAAAATACACAGGTTTAACATTTAGTGTGTATATATATATGCCATTAATTCCATTTCTCTTAATCTCATAAAACTAAACACATATTTATAAAATCATATAGGTCAGCATAATATATATATACAATGTTTTTCTCAACAAAGATTTAATATAAAAAAATCTAAAAGCATAACACAATGATTGCATACATCATGATCATTTTAGTGTAGCTATTTGTAATGCTTCAGAGATAACCTTGTTGGAAAAGCTGTTCACAGCTGGTGGTGTCCACCTGTTGCATTATACTGACTTATTTCTATGTTTTAGCCTGTTAAAGTATTCATTGTAAACAATTAAAATTATGCTAAATTATTAATTTTCCATGCAATAAATAAATAAATGGACCCTAACTGCAGTATTGATGTTATTTAAAAAAAAAATTTTTTTTGTTTGATTCATATGATATTAAGAACCCTATAATCAAGAAAATCATGGATCCACATGCAATTCGGTTCATAAATAGATCACAAAAAATGTGTTTAAAAAGCCAATAAAAGTTCATATCCAATAGTGATTTTATGATTAAATAGCACAAGGATTTCTGAATAGAACAGTTCTACATTACACCTAAACAAACCTACCACCACTATTCCCATTTGACAGAATTCCTACGTATTTAGTCACGGGCCTTCTTGTTATATTCTAATAGCCAAAATGCTCACCGACAGTTTTTTTTCATCTTCTTCAACTCCACAAGAAAGAGTCTGGTCATAGTTCGGCACTTCTGTTTTTCCAACAAATTCTTCGGCCTCAGGTTCTTCCAGCCTGAGACACTTTCTGAGAGTTTCTCTAGATTGTCCAATTAATACATAATGAACATGTTTTATAATAATATAGTGGTCTATTAACTCCAAATTACTTGGTTAACCCTACGTGCATGGAATTGGTCCATTTGATTAAGCCCAAATGGGAGAAATAGTTTTTACTATAATTCCAAAATTACTTAGTGTATTTTCATAAGTAAGCACACGTACATGTTGGTTAACTCAAAAGAAAAGTACAAAAACCAGGAGGTACAAGCATACATACAATATATTGAGATTCAGTATGTAAAATTTAACCTGTAAATTACTGACTAAGTTTTATCATATTCACTAACAGTGCATCCACATATTGAAATGTATTCAATAATATTATGTTTTTCTCTGTCACAACTCAATATAAAACACTGACAAAAAAGAAATCAGTTATTCTCTATGTAAGCTATATAAGAGACCCCAACAGTTGTTAGTGAGATCAACTGTAATAGTGATACAGACTGAGTGAAACAAAAGTGCTAACAAACATTCACGAACTTACAAGCAATTTTGGTGCTTAAATAGTTTACAAAAATGTCCTTCAAAAGACGATAAGGTCCACGTGCACATTATCGGTAATTCTAGGACAAAGTGGCTATGTATGGCAAGACAATGTACATTGATAGCTACTCTTTTCTAATTCTGACAGTTTTTTTTCTGGTATCTTGCCCTAAGATTATTCTCCTTATAACCTATATAAAACACAAGAGTAGTAAAATGCATATTTATAATCATTTTACTAAAAGAAAACAAAAACAACAGTTAGCACTAACAGCTTGCCCGTAATTACATTTATTTGAATATTTCTATAGCCACAGCTCCTACTGCCTACTACTTGCACAGCTACGTACAGTAACGTTAAAAAGTTTACATTTGCACAACTTTCTATGTACAGCAGCAAAAAAATATGAAATTATCAACAAATTCTGATCAGGATAAAGATAATTCTGCAGATCAAAACTAAAATGAACCTCCAGTAAGAAGAATAAAAAAATTAAGTCAGTAATGAATATAGCTAATTTAATATACAACTAGGGGAAAAACTCGTGCTTACTGTATAAAATATGTTTTTGGTTGTGGTGTTTTGTATTTCAATGCACAGTTTATAAAATGTAAAGAGAGTGCTGTAAATCTAAAGTAATTGAAACAGTTAACTGACCTACCTAGACTACTCACATACGAGGTTGGGTACTTTCAGTTTTATAATGAATTTGATGGCCATGTGGGTCACCTCAACAACTGCAAGAATAAACCTATTCTCCAGCATGGGATACCCACTAAACATCTCTAATACAAAAGACACTTTAAGCTGAATGTTTGGATCAAAAATGATCAACTTATCTAGTAGGAGACACCAGATCTAGTCACGCTTTCAAAACCTGGGTATCGATGACAAGTATTAAAACTCAACATGGTGATGGTATCGATACTCTAAGAGTCTATAAACAAATAAAGAAATTTGTACATAAACACTGCTGTTTTAGATGGGGTTCTGAGAGAGGACAGATGAAACCTTTGCAAGTTAACAGGAAATTTAGCATTACATACAAAACAAACACAAGAAATTTTATATACAGAGTAATCTTATGTGCATGAGGAATGGAAAAAAAATTCTGCATGGCCTTAAATATGTTAGAAAGATTCTTTTGTTTCTTCTATCAAAATGTATATGAGCTTTAATGCTTACTTATATCTACTGACATTTTCCAATAAATATTGTTATTTGTCTTACTCATTCTAAAAAATTAAAAATCATAAAAGGTTACACATATTAATTGGAGTTATGCAATTTTGAATTATTTGTATTTGAATTAAAAATACTAATTGCATATGTGAAAACTACTCAGTAAATGCTGGGACTTTATTCTTGGATATATATATATACTTTTTAAGTTTTTACTACAGCACCTTTTTTTTAGTTTTGTCAGCCAATAGTATTATTTTAGTTACATATTTTATCTCAATAATGAAAACTTATTTTCTTTAAAATCTTACCTCAGTATTAGATAGTGCTTTAGAAGCTCATCCACTAATCTATTGTTTCTTAGTTGAGGCTCAGAAGTTTCCTGGAAGAAATTAAAACTATACAAAAAAAATTGCCTTTTTTCATAAAGCAAAAATGAATAAAACAAACTATAAAAATTATATAATATTTTAAAGCAGGTGATAAGCATTGCCTTGGAAATTATATACAAGTCAGACCTACTTCTGTAGTGAGAAACATTTTAGTCTGACAAAAGAAGCTTCGCAAAATCATTTAGTGAAATATCATAACAGAAAATCAACATGAATAAACTAAATAGAAAATCTTGTCCTACTTATCGATTCAGTTTTTTTCAAGAATGTTACTTGTTATTTCCATTATGAAGAGAGTATGGAATTAGTGTACTTAGATTTTCAAAAGGACCACACAGAAGACTAGCTAACAAAATAACATAAGTGGGGTTGGGGAAACACTACTAAACTGGATTGAAGGGTGGCTGGCTGAGAGAAAGACAGAGAGTCATTATTAATGGAATCCAGTCAGATTGGACCTTTGTTACTGGTGGTGTAACTCAGTGGTCAGTGCTTAGGCCTTTTCTTATCTACATTAATAACACTAAGGACATACTTAGTAAATTAATAGTTAGCTGATGACATTAAAGTTTTGGATATTTATACCTATAATGAAAATGTTGAGGTAACACAGAATGAATTGGATCAGTTGTTAAGTTAGATAACTAATTAGCAAATGATCTTTAATTACAGTAAAGACAAGGTAAGTGATGCATTTGTGTTATCATAATTTGGATCACATTTTTAATATAGATGGGAACCCATTCATTAGCATGATTAAAGAAAAAGATCCTGGCATATTAGTAGGTAAGTTACTCAAGCCATTGAGGTAGTGCTCTGTTGCCAGTAATAAAGCTAACAGAATTTGAGGATATATTTATAGATATACTAATTAGAAGTCATGAGAGGTAGTTAGGCCTCACATGGTATATTATGAGCAGTTTTGTTCTCCTTATCTAGGAAAGAATATTGACTTGCTGAAAATGGTTAAGACAATGGCTACTATGATGATGATGCTGTCATCTTATAGAAATAGGCAAAGGCATAAATAAGCACTGGCACACAGGGCCCAGGTCTCGAATCCCCAGTGGTGTCTTGAAAAATCAGAACTGAAAAACCATGATCGATATCATACTGAAACACTGAAAAATCCCATGCATATATGCCCAAGTCCCTGAAGTTTCCAAGTGTATCCAGGGGTTGATGGATAAGGGCTCCCGATTTCTTTATCCTGAATTCTGAAGACACTGGATGAGAAAATTCAAGTTTAAAATTCAGAAAAAAGACTGACCAGGCTCCAATTAATATAACATAAGCTATGGACAACAAGGGACTCTTGAGTCTTTTAAGTGTCCTTGCACACCCACCCACGAGAAAAGTAAAAATTAAAACCCATCCTTTATGTTTATTAAACTCTTCTGATGTGCTGGCTAGAGCTAGGTGATTAACTCAGTTAACCAATTAATTATGAGCATCAATTACTTCACTTAGTGTCATGTAAAATAATCAATTAATCAAAATTAGTGTTTTAGATTATTCCTACTATCCAAGTAATTGAAATATTGCCATTTTCATTTCTCATTATTATTTTTGATTAATTCACGGTCATTCAGCATAACAACTAACGTTACACTCATACAAATAATTAAATTACTGTTTCTGATCATTATAATTTCTTATTGTTTTAACTGTCCAAGTTGAATTTAATTGATTAAAGAGGCTTTTAATTTTTGGATTATCAAGTTCCACTACTGCTGATAGAAAATCATTTCATAAGTCAATCACTCTGTTAGAGTGTTTTATTTTTCTGACAGAGTGATAAACTAATGGAGAAACTTTTCATTTTAACTTGAACAGGCTATTATTTGGTCAGTATAGGTGAATATATTATAGATGGATCTGATTAGTTTGTGGATAGGCCTAGCAATTAATATTATTATTACTATCTTGAAAACCTATACATAAAATATGCATACAAATATTTACATTATACTGACTGACAACACTGATTAAAGGTATTTGTGATCATCGATCAGCACAATCAAGTATTGCAGGCCTGCAAAGCTACCATTGATATTGAAGTGAGCAACATTAAAAGACTGTTGATTGATTTAAAAACACTGCATGAACATTGGCACTCAATTCTTAATGAAGCTAAACTAGTTGCAAATAATATGAATTTTCTGCCACAACTGCCTGCAAAACAGAAAACAGTTTGTAAGTATTTTCATGATGAAAATAAAAATGACCACTTGAATGAAGAAAATGAATCTGTAGAGGAAATAAAGTTAGACAAAACATATTTTATAAGATCACAGATTCTGTTATTGCTGGGCTCACTACAATATATAGAGCAGTAGTGAATATTAATCAGACTTTTATTTTTTGTGGCAACATCCAGATATATCAGAGAATAATCTACATTCAAAAACTAGGAAGTTGCCAAGAGTAGATCTGATGTATCAGAAAACTTAGCAGAAAAAAATGAAACATCTAAAGACCATCCACAAAGCTAACTTTGGTGATATTGCATTAAATCCTTTAGACCTTCTATACAAACTGCACAAATTCAAGCTACATCCACTTTTCCCTAATGTTTCTCTAGCCCTTCGCATTTTCTGCAATATTCCCATCACAGTTGCAGATGGGGAGAGATTTTTTTAGCAAGCTAAAACTGATAATAATTATCTGCATTTCACCATTTTCCAAGTCGATTGACAGATCTAAGAAACCTTACAACTAAAAACCAGCTATCCCGTACTTTGGATTTCAGTAGAATCATTTATCAATTTGCCAAACAGAAGGCAAACAAAGTACACTTCTAACAATAATAATCATACAGTCAACAGTTGTCTGGCCTAATGATGATAAATAGAAGAAAACTATAAACCTGATTTATGTTCAACCAGTTCTATCTTATTTTGCTATTAAATAATTGAAATGTTTAAGTGCAAATAAGTATTGTTTTCAGATATTCACCGTATTAAACAAACATGAATTTCGTTGTATGGGCATTTTTTTTTCTTTAATAATTTTATTCAATTATTTAATAAAATTCTTTAATCGGCGACTTTTGTAATCTCCTTTTAGGCAGCAATGTATTTGTGTGTTAGTGCATTTGTCAATTATATGGTGATAGAATTAAACATTGAGTCCTTAAATATTTTAGCCCATTTTCCATCTAAGTAATTTGTTAAAATGTTATTAAAGAACTACAAAAAGCTGCTTGAAAACATAAAACAATATTACGTTGAAATTTTATAACATGTTTTTTTTTACAATGTCAGTATCATACTCCTCCCACTGAACACATTTTCTTTAACTTTTATTTTAAATAAAAGATGAAACTAGTTTCAATTTTAATATTTTAATGTAAAAACAATAAATTCTCATTGGCAACATTTTATCCTTTACTTTCTGATGATTTTTGAATAAGACACGAAGAACATATGTTACAACTGTCAGAGAAGTCACTATTAACTTCATTAATAACAAATATTGTAACATATTCTATATTTTTAAATTGTGCCTAAATAAATGAAGATCCAGCCAGGTTAATTAGATGCAGTTAGGTTTCATATTTGTTTTACAAGTGTATATTAACAAGTTTACAGCACATTAATTACAGTATGTATATACTCACTTCAAAACATGTTGGACACTGAGATTTGTATGTCATATACTTCCTAATACAGAAAGAGCAATCTGTGAATGTAGAGAAATATTTTGTGTTTTATACATGTTTTATTACATGTTTTTCAAAACTTTCACACATATTTCAAATTAATAAATGCAGTGGTGTTATATACATAAAACTAGAATCTAATGAGCATGAATATTATACCTGAAAAAAAAACAAAAAACAATTAAGCTTGAACATCCAACAATATTCAATATAACATTTCAACAGAATGGTTATCATCCATTATTGATGCTGAATAATAAAGAAAAGTGTTAAATACTAAAACTTCTAATCCAGGAAATTAAAAGAATGTGTACTGTTTGTAAGTATATCTTTATCAGCTCAATATTTCTTTTTTATTTTCAAAATTATAAATATGTTGAAAATTATCATAGTTTCTTTTTTCTTCAATCTCTAAAATTAGAAAACTGATACAGTGGTTGGAAATACCATTTTCGTATTCTTCACGAAAAGTAAAAACATTGGCTGAACTTGAACTTCCTTTCTTTTCTGTGATTAAAAGCTCTCAGTGAAGATATGCCACGTTGGACAAGAGATTCAAAAGTAAGGGAAAAACTGAATAGTAAAATTTACAAACACTTGTAATAATAATAATATTTTGAACATTTTGTACATGTTTTTTTCCCCACCAAAAAAGTAATACAGTAAGCAAAAATGGGTCCACAATGCTGGATACTGCAGTTTGCAGACATACGTGTTTTCTGAAACATAAGTGCATGTAGTTTTTAACAAAGAACAATGGTCAAGGAAGTAGCTAAATTCCTTTTGACCAAGTTACCTGTTGAACTGGGTCATTTATCTAGTGTATCACATGTGCCTTCTCATGGGAAAAATATCTATTATGAAGAACATACTATGTGAAAGTAGACAGCAAACTTATATTTCATGGGAATGACCAACAGTGATGTAGGTAGTGCACACTCTCCTTGGGAAGAATAGTTTAGTGTGTATATAATGCTGGGACAAAATCTTCTTCAAACAGATCTCTGACAGCTCCAGCAAAGGTACTGTCCTTCATCACCCTTGTTAGCTTTGGTTGTGTTTTATTGAAATAAATGAAGATAAATGCACATATTCAACCTCTTTGACAACTCAGTAAAATTCAGAGAATACATTTTAACTCTGCATAGCATTTTCTGTCAAACCTCCTGTTATTTTGTGGATCCTACTTGATTACTCTGAAGGAAGATCACTGCACTTGAGAATGCCACAATATTAAAGACAAGAGGAGTAATTTCACTATTACTCTGTTTTGGCTATTGGTAATCTGATAATCATAAGGATGTAAAACAAACATATCTCAATCAAAGTTTCAAACAATACTATTACAAGCATAACATTCATTGCTCACAGGCTTTTATTAACAAGCGTAGTACAGTAGTAGTTGTACCATTATAATGCTTTCTCAATGCCTCTCAAGTTTGATATGAAGCCATCACAGACCATTTCACTTTTAAAATATTTGTATACAGAAGTTTCCTAACTTCATAATAGATTTTGATAGTGAAGCCTGCAGAAAATATTATCATTGCCATATAACAAACAGTTCAAAATCTTGTACCTGAAAATTAACAAGAAATCACCAAAATAATGGTAGAAATGTGGGTTTATAGCCATTGTCATGTTGCAGTAAGTAGAGTCAGTGAGTACCTGTAAAGAAATTAACATACACAAGTTTGATGTCAGCCACCTGGGAAGGGATGAAATGGATACAATTTCAAGCATTGCTGTAGCAGCAAATGAACCTGTTTAGGGTAGGAAAATAGTAACGGGTATGATAAGAGCCTTTGTTTATAGGACATGAGAAAAAAGTTTCAGAATGACACTGGTAAAAGCTAACACCTTTCTTTGTACATCAATATAGGGATGTCACTGAAAAAAAAAAAACTAACCCTAACAGCTACTCAACCAAATATGTTGGGCATTAACTACATATGGACCAAAATGAAAAGTTGATAAGAGTTTGATGCAAGATATTGCATCAGATGATTTGGTGGCAAGATATTGTGTTTTTCTGTAATGAAAAGAAAACAACTTTACTTCTTATGATTAAGTGTAAATTTTGATAACTTAGTGGAAAGATATTAGGTTTTTATGTAATGTCAAGAAAAACAACAAAAACTTTACTATTTTTGATTAAGTGTACAGGGAAATATGCTTTATGTATGGTTTGTATGAAAGAGTAATAGCAAAATTACCCTTCCTGAATTTAATATCCAACATCGTAGGCCTATTTTCACTCACAATGTGGCTTTGTCAGCAGGAATAAAAACAACTTACAAAACATACACAATATTGTTATTATATATATTTTTCTAAGTTTACATGTGAAATTCCAGTCTCATATGGGATGTTCTCATTGTGAGCTTCTAACCAAATGAAAAAAAACAAAACTGAAATAATATGCATACCATTGTTAGGTAACATTTTCCTCAAACTATGTTTATTCTTAAAAAATATGTTACAAAAATGAACTGTATAGTCCAAATATAATAACCGTCACTTTGATAAATACACATCTTTGGAAAAGTGTGAAACTTAATGCTAGAAGTTGTTCTTTATCTAACCGATATTGTCAACATGTACCATGCTGAAAAACATTTGCAAGATTCTAAAATATTAACAATAAAATGTTTAATAAGATTTCATAGCTCCACTTACAATTATGGGAACAGACTGTTATCATGCACACGTTGAAATAATCAAAACAGATTGCACATCTCAGAGAACGGTCCAAAGCCTGAACACCAAAGATAAACATAATTATGAACTGATCGATACTTTAGTACTTGTGGTCAACCAAACTTCAATGTTAATACTACTTTTTAATTATTTCTTATAAAATAGCTATTTTATATATATATATATGTGACATTTGAAGAATAGTAACACCTTTACATATTACAATTTTTATTCAAATTTGTATGATTGAGATACAATAAATATTTTTAATATTTTTAGAAAGTAAACAATCTAATACAATGTATGTAACAAACCTTTAAACAGGGGTTCAAATTCTCCATCATTACAGAAGAAGAAAGGTATAGCACATAACTGCTAGTGCAACTTTTGTCCACATAAAATTTGCTGAAAGAAAGTTATAGAATCAAAAATATTTTATCATACTTGTAATAAAAACAAAACAGAATATATTTCACATAACCGAAAACTATTACACTTCCATTAATAGAGAAGTAGTGAAAAATAGTTACGGTCATTTTATTTTGGAATGCGAATTAAAAACACCTCAACACAACACGTTTATGTTTTCCAAAACAACACTAAAAATATAACTGAAACTTTCACGTCTGGACTAAATCATACATACATACTTTGCTACATAGTTACATCATGAAAAAGTTATTATAAAAAGAAGGAAAACATTATACTGCATGAAACAAAAACATTCAAATTTATTAACCGAACATGTTTTGGCAATTCCAGTTTGCAAAACAACCTTTTGCTTCCTCTTATATGCATATACTGATATAATTAGCTATGATGTGTACTACAAAAAGAGCATCATATATTACACCTAAAAATTATTACTTCTCTCCATAACTACAGCATCCAGTAATCAAATTAGAGTCTCAGTTTTCCTACACAGCAAAGAAAAAAAAAACAGTTCAGTATATTAGTGAACCCCCCTCTATGAATCCTCAGTTTGTATGGTCCATTTTGAATTTCCTAAAAAGCTACATGAGGGATATATGTGGCTATCATGCGTTAAACATCCATAATTTACAGTGACAAACTAAAGTGAAGACAGTTAGTCAACACCACCCACCACCAACTGTTGGGCTACCTTTTTACCAACTAATAGTGGGATTGACCATCACATTATAACATACCCATGGGTGAACTGGCAAGCATGTTTAGTGACAGGAATTCGAATCTGTGACTTGCAGATTATGAGTCAAGTGCCCTAAACACCAATCCACGCTAGGTCACAAAACCTCAGAACCCTTTCCTTTTCACCTTCAATGATAGCAAAAGGCTCAAATTTATTTGATGTAGTTACATACACCTTATACAAATCTGCTTCCTCAAGCCCTACTCTTTTGTACACTACACGCCACTAGATCATACTACATTTCTTTATAACTAAAATAATTTATTGTTCTCTATACAATAATAAATCACTAGGGCTTGAAAAATCCATCATACAGAATTCGAATATCATCCTAATTCTTTATACATGAAGATCAGATTTTTAGCCCTCACTTCCATATTTGTCATATGTAATCAAAGAGTAAAACACAGGTCAGTGCTTATATTTAAATTGTAGCTATATGCACTTGTACCTATGATAAGCCTACAGTGTGGTATTAAATGTCACTAAAAAAAGGATTGAGAGGAGAAAACTGTGGCAAGGGAGTGTAGTGACTGAGCATGACTAAGAATGTGAGAAGGGGTGTGCTCCCCTCTGACAAGCTGGAGCTTTTTTTCCAAAACAAACATGTATTAAAAGTTATTTTTCCTGAGACATCAGAAATAATTTATTGATGAAATCTGAGTCTTAAACATTACTTAATCCTTACAAATTCTTGCAATGTACATGACATTATGGGCATGTGCTGTGTTACACATGTTAAAGGCATATTGATATTAAAATTATGAAAAAAACTTCATTTATGTAACTGTTTGAACTCTAAGAGTCTACATATATATATTTTAGGATAAAACAGAATGTATACAAATGAACATGATATTCTAATTTTTTCTAAATTTTCAAGTTCACTCTATCACTTTCAACATATCCTAAATGAAATGACCTATAAAGCAAATTTACTTTTTTGTATTCTGGAATCTAATACACTTGTGAATATTTCATAGCTATTCAAGAGAAAGACAACTGAATTAACATAATTTATGATAGACATGACCAAATCAGTAACTTATGATAAAAACTTTTATTGCTTGAGTGACCAATCAGGTAACACTTTACAAAGCCACCACATCAAATCTTTTGATTTGAAAACATCTGCTATTATTGCCACATAGATAATGTTCCTATGAGACTCCTCAATCTCCATTTTCTACACAGGATTCATTTGAATCACCTGGGTGATGAGATCGATGTTCCCAGGCACAGAAATAAGCAGACTGGAAGAAAATTGACATCAATAATTAAAGGACATCTTAATAAATTTATAGAGGAAAGTCAGCCTGTTGAAGAGCCTAGAGTTTCTGTTGAGACCATTTCCGGAGTATCACCAAGAATAAAGCCACCAATGGATTCTTTCAACCATATACTTAGACAGAATTTCCCCAGTGACAAGACAGCAAGTGGGAAAGCCACAGAAAAGAAAATCATCAAAACAATCTGATAAATGAACAGTTTAGAGACAGTAAATAATATTTTTTTGTTAATTAGAAATGTGATTGTACTTTAACACAATTAATGATTTAGTGATTGTCTATTTATGAATAGTAATTTTTGCCAGTTGAATATATTATTGTTTAATCTGTATATTAGGATTGTCCAGTGTTATAGGCTATGTTTTTTAATATTCTAATTTATCTATGTGGGGCCTATATGGATTGAAATGGTACTTATATCTTGCTATTAACATAAAACAGTAGTTTATGCATGTTGCTTTCCTTCTTGGCTAAATCTTATTATGAATACAATTATTTCTTGTCTTTTACTACATCCAGACCTACACTAACATTAGTAGCAATAAAATAATGCAGATGTCCTAATGCCAATCATAAGGCCTAGATAATAAGTCATCACTAAAGTCTGGTGATAATGTTGACATTTTTATTTGAAGTGGGGAAAAAAAAAACTAGCAGTAATTGGGCACCTTGTTTTTTTTTTGGGGGGGGGGGGGTTCAAGCACTCGAAATCAGTGGCACATAAAAATTATGATGACTGTGATTAATTAATTGTGTGTGAGAATTTTATAGAGCTTATCCACGTATTGATTTAATGGTTGCCTTTAAACCTGAAAATAGATTGCATAGTTTTTCATGATCAAAAATAAAATACCATATTCGAAAAACATTAAATATTGTATACGACTTTAAATGCCCTGGCACAGTTCTTGATATATTTGATTAATCACCAAATGATTTGACATACACAAAAAGAACATGCAGTACATCACAATTTATTTAACTTTTTTAGGATTCTTGCAAATAGAAGCAATGAAAAATTTTATGTATAAAAGAGACTTATACTAGATTAGGGCCACAACTCAATGAAATGAGTTCAGTTGTAATTTCATTGTTTTTATATTTAAATTGGCTGCCCACTTTGGCACTGACTGATTGAGTGTATAGTACTAACATTCTACATAATTGTAGCAGTAGAGTTACATTCACAGGTTCAACTCCAAGGAAATCCATCATTTCTCTTTATTACCAACGACATAAAAAAACAGCTTATAAATATTTTAACCGAATGCTTCATCTTATTCAATTTATTTAATTGAAGACTTATTCTTAAAATGCTATTTAAATTTTCATACTAACTTATCTTCTGCTCATGGAACATTAATGACCTAAACTAAAGCAGCCAATATACCTAACGTTTACACCCAGTGCCACACAACGGGGATAGTCCTAATGCACTGAATTCATTCAACGAACTTCTATCAGTACAAGCCTTTACTACGGTTTACAAATTACACCATGCACAAGTACTGAAACTGAAAGTTACAATATAACGTTAGAACTTACATGGAATTTCAGTATCCTCAGTCTTCTCTATCAACTTCTGTAACTACTGACGTTACAAATACTATTACTAGTTCTACTACTAGTAGTAACAACAGTGGTACATCTAAGTTCTAAAGCATATTAACTATAACAATTATACTATATTAAGTCCCCAAATTGAATCGAAACTTAAAGGTCAATACATAGAGTGATATACAAATCAATTTATATTTGCTTCACTTTACAGTTTAAACCATGTTAAAATTGGTTTTATTTATATATTTAAAAATAAGAAAATATTATTCTTATTTATAAAATTTAAAAGGAATGATGAATAAAAATATAATCACCACACCTATCGATAATGTATTGATAATGATAGTACTGATAATACCCATTCAGAAAATTAGTAATGATAATGAAGGAGAAATCTACATTACACATACACATTGCTTATATTTCATATTTTTGCATACAATTTCTATTTCTTACAATGATATGACAAAAGATATTTTTTTTTTTACTTTCACTTACAATTTCTGATAAGCATATTATTACGACAGCTGAAGTCACGCGACGCTGGGAGCATGCGCGCTGGAGTTTCTAGAAGGATCGTGACTTATCGTGCAACCTCACGAATGTCCCAGCATTTGCTAGACGCCCTCTTTTTTAGTATATTGTTTGTTTGTAATTAAGCACAAAGCTACACAATGGGCTTTCTTTGCTCTGCCCACCACGGGTATCGAAACCCGGATTCTAGCGTTGTAAGTCCGCAGACATACCGCTGTGCCACTGGGGGGCTTTTTAGTTTATAAGCCGGAGATAGATTGAAGAGAAACTAATTGAGTCAAGCGAACAGTAGGCCCCGTAAGTAAAGTGTGTGAATCGCTGTGAATTATAGCGTGTGTTTATAAAAGTTGTTAAGTTAAACTGACTGTGGAAATTCTGTGTATTTCAAAGTTGTATCGAGAAAGAATAAACTAGTTTTATTTAAGAAAGGACTTGTATCTCTGAAGTTCCTCGGAAAGAATTTACAACGGAAATTAACAAACGAGCAGATACGTAACAATATTAAATGCCACATTTATAGAAAAGCATTTTTCTAACATTTAATTCCTAAAAATAAATAAATAATAATCGAAAGTCAGCTATTTTTATTTCGACATTACACAGGTCATACATTTACAATTTTACAGTTATTTGATGAACAGTCGACCACAGCAATCAGAAGTGACGATCATTAACGACACAATTAATGAATGTTTCGGAACACGCGTATTCAATCTTTAGGAAATCCCTTCAGGAAATACAAAACTATAATCACAGATAATAAGTTGAATGTTTAATAGAAACTTGTGCACTGCGATAAACATTTTGGTATTTTCAATTAAAAAACGATTTCCAAACAAGTATATTTGATACAATTTTCTGCAATAACAGCAAAGTTCGACAGGGAAATTTACGAGAGTTCTTGCGACTTAAATATTTCGACTGAGTGTTCACTTTAGTGTAAGAATAGACAGGCTGAACATATTTTAGACAAATAAATAAAATATTTATTCAAACAAAAAGGAAAATTCAGGGGAGTGCCAACAGATGACAGCAGAATTACTCCTTACTAGTTAACTAGTGTCTGTGCAAGCATGAACAGTGTGTTTTTGCTGTAAATGTATACTAAAGATTGGTTTTTAACTCTGTTTCACATTTCCAATCTGTTTATTTTCTTAGCTTAAGCTCAGTTGTTTAGTTAAATTCAGATTTATCTGTAATTATCCTATACACATCTTCCATTATAAACCAGACCTATCTAACATTCATATAGAAATTACACCTGAAAATACCACAATAATTTGATGTTGAAGGTAGACTGTGATCTGAAAGAGTAAGAGGATCTAGAATATTTTCCCTTCTTGTTTTCGGCCTTTTGTCAAAGCTGAAAAGAAGCATGTGTACTATCTTGATGTGTCTGCAAAATCAAGAGGGAGTACAGAAGTCTGAGACCAAAAGAGCAGTTGAACATGTTCTAACAGTGAACATTACCTTTCATTTAGAAAAGCAAAAATGACTAACATTTAATGAACAACAACAATAAAACAAACAGACAAACACACCAAGTAAATGGAACAAGATGGAGATACTAGTATCGACCTATTCATGTGTTCATTTAAGTCTCAGTGTGTCTTCATGTTTGTCTTTGTCCCTCCCCCCCAAGAAAAAGATCTAGTGAGGAGATTATGGTAGTCTACATAGAGTCCTCACTACTCAATTAGATACGGTGAGTGATTCTCACAAAACGTTTGAGAAGAACTTACAGAAGAAGGTTTTTGTCGGAAGTTTAGAGAAGTCAAACCTGACACTGTAGAAACTGTATTTCAGTTTGTGGCATGTTTATGGCGATACTTTGCCAGATGGACTGACATGGCCAAGTGTGAAAATAGTTTTGAGGGACTGGCAGACCTACTAATACGTGAAAAGTTCATGAGCATGTGCTCAAATGCCATATCACTGTTTCTAAAGGAGAGAGCACCAAAGGGTGTGGATGAAATTATCAAGCTGGTAGAATAGTGTATGGAAGCCCATGGAAGGAGTATAACTGGCAAGTCCAAGAATAACCAGTTAAAGTCGAAACCAGTGGTGGCTGACCAGGAGCAAGAGTCTACCAAAGGTGATAGGAAGTTAATAGACAAATGGGAGCAAATGAGAGAAGAGATGCTATATTTGTTATAAAACAGAGCAAATTGCAAATCACAAACAAGAAACAGAAACAATTTCAACATAAAGCTACTGAAGCTACATGCAAAGATGGTATTGGCAAGAAACAAGAAAAGAGTGACTATTACCATGGATGCAGCTGCCAGAAGAAACAGAATCAAGAAAACATGTCAGATTCACCACAAGAAGTAAGTGCCTTTTCCATGATTGATCAGTGCATGAATAATGGTCAGCTGAAATTAGCAAATGGATCAACAGTGCTAGTAGTGATCAGAGAATGTTACAAATATTGAGAGATGCCAAAAAATCACAACATGCCAATAGGGAAGGGCTATGTTGGGGACAAGAAAATGAAGGTCCTACGATACATTGGATACAATAGTACAGCAATGAGAACCGGTCTAGTATCTGATAACCAGATGACAGACAAGGTGCACCTGTATGTGCTAATTGATGGGACAGTGAGAACGATTCCTGTGGCAAAAATAAAGGTGAATGCTCCGTACTATGTGATTGGAAACATACCAGGAAGTAGGAATTTGGAGGAACTAGATAGAAAGAAGAATGATGAGGCATCTGCAATTACCACAGAAATTCAGGGTAAAAAGAGAAATCAAGATATCAAACCCCTTAAAGTCTCGAAAAGTGACATCCCGAATATATGTTCACAGGAGTTGAAAGAAGTGCAGAAGAGAGAAACTTCAGAGCTATGCCTAAGAGAAAGTCAAGCACAATACAAAATGGAAAGAGGCTTACAAAACAGAGGACCATAAAAAGTATTGAACTGAACCTATCAAAGCAGTTATACCGGTGAAGCTAAGTACTTCAAAAGCAGTAAAAAGTACATATATAACAAGAAGATCAAGGATCTTCATTTTGAGGTTGGACAGAAGATCTTAGTTCTGCTACCCACAACCAACAATAAATTCACTGGCACTGGAAAGGACTTTTGCAATACAGGAAGTGATCAACAGAATGCACTATAAGATGAAAGTGGATAGGACGATTAAGGTCTGCCACACCTGTCGTTTTAAGAGGTACTTTAAGAGGGAAGAAGACCTTACGGGTGTAGCTGCTATTGAGGTACAGATGGACATGGCAGATATGGCTGTCATAGACACATAACCTGAAGACAGTGATTTCATTGTAGAAGATAAAGACCTACTAGGCCTAAGACCACTGGGTGGAGATGAGACGTACAAGGACGTCTACATAAGTGAAGAACTGGCTGGTAAGAAGAAGAGAGAGTTACAAGATCTACTGTGCCAGTATACAGATAGATTAGGAAATACAAATCTCACACAACACAAAATCAAGATGAAGACAAGGGATCCTGTCAAGGTGAAGTCCTGCCAGAGGCCCTATGTAAGAAAGATCAACAAAGGAACTGTAAATGTTGGTGTAGACTATATGAAAAGACTTATTATATATGAATGAAGAACAGTTTTGTACATAGTGTAAAATAATATTGTAAATATTTCACTTGAAGAGGGGCTTATTATTGGATATACAAGACTGTTTAGTTTAAAAGTTATTATTTACTTTATTTGGTGATTTAATATTTAATTTACTTTTTATAACAATAGAGGTAAAAGTAATTATTTTAAAGACGATATTTATGACAAGTTTGGTTGCTTGACTAGGTAAGAGTCGTATGTCATATGTGTGGTTAAAATGTTATAGTATTGTTGCGTCAGCGAGT